TTAAGTGTTAACGAGCAGTTGGACAGGTGTACCTAATAAAGTGGCCGGTGAGTGTATATATGCCGCCTAATTCTATTTATTTTGGGTTTGTTTATTTTTATTCAATCCAAAACACAGGTCTATAATATTCCATATAGAGTATGAGACATGTGCATTTTCAGTTGCACTATATATTATTTAAGAAAATTTGTTAACACACTTATTAACTTCATAAAAACTCCTTAGATAAACATTTTAAGACTGATTAAGACTGATCTTATAGAGAAAAAAGGGTGCTAAAAATACAGTTCCATGAACCTTCAGGTCATTTAGCTTTACCTTTGTGCTTTTTGCAGAGAATCAGTCCGATCACCAGAAACAGAAGGGATAAAAAGGTTACCAGTGATATGATGAATATAAGCGGCAGATCTGGTTTTGTCTCTTCATCCGATCCTGAAAGAAGGTTTAAAATATAGTGCCAGAGAACAATGAACACATTTTTTACTTTGAGGCCAGTGTTAGTCCTCTTTGGGTCCTAAACAATTATTTATGCCTCATTTAACCAGAGAACTTTCTACATCTACTCCTTTCATTTTTTTTTTTTTTGCAATTATCTCTACTTCTACTTCTTGTATTTTAAAAATAGACTTGTTAGTTTGGTTTCATTTAAGCTTATTATGGCCTGTTATTGAAAAAAAAATCAAGTAAAACCATCAAAATAATTTGTTTCCTTACAACAATCAATTTGGTTGGACTTTGTGCTGCAGAAAATTGTTATTCAACACATACTAAAATACATAGTTTTTCAAGATGATCCAAAGTTAAATCTAACACTGCTGCCATTTGTTAGAAATCTAAAAAAAATAAGTATAAGAAGTTTTCACCTAGAATGTCAGAAAAACGTTCCTTTAACAGCGTAGTGTAAAGTATCAGTCCTTAACAATTTTTCTGAATTGCTTTTATTTTTTATACTTTAAGAAGTTTTAAATATCTTGCTTTTACACTTTAAGTAAAAAACTTAAGCTGATCCTCTAACTTCTACATTTTTTTTAAACAGTAGGATTTATACTTCTACTTGTTTTGCAAACAAATATCATTACCAATGTGTTAGACACGTGCATTTTATGCCAACTTTTAATCTTTAGTTACCAAAAAATATAGTTACAACTCTAAAAGGTGATGGCTATCAAGGTTAACTCTTCCCGCGGTGTTGAAGGGATTAAACTGCTAAAGGTGATTTTGGATATAGCAAATGAACCCTTAAATATTTTATGAGCAAAAAAGCCCCCTGAGTACACTGATGACCCTAGTGCGCAACATCAGATGTCCACCCTTAGGTCACAAAATTTGTTATAAACCAGGGATCATAGCAAATTAAAATTAGAAGATTACCCTATAATGCTGGATTTAACTCAACAGCTTCTCTCAAAAACCGCTTGATGAAAATAAATAACCTGGGTAGTATAAAAATACCTTAAACATGTGGAATGTATTAAATATTTACTAATTGTCAGTTCTGGTAAGATATTCACTTTTGTGTAGTTTTCACCTTAGCATAACTACGGTATTTACAATTACACCTAAAGGACAGGGAGAGGCTGTCCATTTTTTACGAGCAGTTACCAATAGCCCCGAGTTTATATGTAACTGTAGTTACATATGTAGTTACATATGCAGTAAAGATGATAGTATTCATGGGAGACTATTCCTAGGGAATTAAGCTGACATTAGTTTAAAATGTACTAAATAGCTGAAAAAGCAGAAACCTACAAAACATGTAAAAGACTATGCATAACAGTTAAGCAAATGAAAAAAGTGACATAATTATTACATATAATGCTGTTGGAGGGATGTGGGGGAACCCCTTTTTTACTTTTAAACAGGCATGTCTGGATCAAAATTCAGTTGATTTTACAGATAATATCAACAGATGTGAAGTTATGTTTGAATTATTCTTTCACCATCACAATATTTATTAGATCAGGTATCAAACATACCTTCCTCCTCTCCTGGTTTGACAACAGCCATCCAGCTTTCTGGAGATTCTCCTCCTACACTAGATATTTTGCACTTGTAAAATCCTTCATCTGTCTTGGAGACCTTGGAGAGGGTCATACCCTTTATATAGAAGGTTTCAATGTGTTTGCCATCTTTGTAGAAATCACTTATGTGTGTCTTCTCTGTGTTCTTGTTTATACAATGAAGAGTCACATCAGATCCTTCCTTCACTGGTTGAGCTGGAACATCCAGGATCACTAAACCAGCTGTGGGAATTGAACGAAAAAAGTTTAAAGATATTATACTGCTGTTTCTGATGGTTTATATTCATCAAATATAAAATGTTTACACACCTCAAGTGCAAGACTTTTATCATCTAAAGAAAATACGACCAAAGTAAATGTAGTGGACCCTAATATACCCGTTTTTGTTTTTCTCTCAATATGTTATCAGTGTATTTCTTATGAAGGTTAAGTTATAGCTCACATTAATAGGGAAAAAATTCCACATATTATTGTTCCCATGCTTTGAATGTTACGACACCTTGCAAATTTAGATGTTGATAAATACAAAAACAGCATTATACTTTTTTAAAACATACAGACCTGTAACAGAAATACTGACAGCACGGCTCCTTTCTCCTTTATCATTTTCACACCAGTATTCTCCACTGTGTCTTTTGAAAGTATGTTGAATTGTACAGGATGGAACTGGGGTGCTGCAGTCTTGAGAAATATTTGCTTGACTTATTTTATGAAGTTTTCTCATCACTCTCCATGCATTAACGTCTTCTTCTCTACCACAATTTACAGAGACTGTCTCATATTCAAAGAACTGAAGTCTGTCTGGAGAAACGACAGGGAAATCTGTAATGATAAAAAATTTAAACAAATAATGAAATCAAATGTATATTTTGAATTGTCAAATTTAGCCTAATTGAAAAAAACTGCTAATTTAGCTGAATTTACTCTCAGTTTTCAAAAATCAGATCTAATTCAAAAAGACATGTCAATAATTTAAGGAAAATAAATTACTTAAACATAATACTTTCCAACTTACCAGGTGTCTGAACAGTGTAACTCGATGCAGGCTGGGTCACAAGCAAGACTAAAATAGTATTTACTGCAGAGACATGAGAAAAGCTTGATATCCAAACTCATTCAGGACAAACAAGGCAAAAAAGAAAAGAAAGTTACTGTACTCACAGATTTGGACCCAAAGATGTGTGACCTCCATTACTGATGCTTAAAGCTCAGTGACTAGTGTGTCATATTTTCACTTAGGTTATATGCAGCTGAGAACCTCCTCTTCCTGTTTGGACTATTATTCAATTTGGCAAAAGAACAGAAATTATATAGCATTTCTTAAAATATTGGTGTGACGTCTTCTTTTGTAGAATAAACAACCCTCATACTCAAGCTCTTATCATTTCACACAACTTTCACACAGCTGTTAAATATTAACAGAACTAATCATCAGCTATTTACCTTTCAACACTCCACTTGGTCCTCGAGGCATGCTGTCCTGCAGGTTTTAGAGGTTTCCCTGCTTTAGCACAGCTGATTATGATTGCAGTAGACCAAAAGCCTGTTAATCAGCTTTCAATTAAAATAAGTTGTGCTGGAGCAAAGAAAACCTTCAAAAGCTGCAGGACAGCGGGCCTCGAGGACCGAGGTTGGGGATGCCTGCTCTATAGTATTATCCATGCAACTTCAGTCTTTATCCAGTCTTGTTTTCATGAAGGGTGTATTTTCTCTACTGTACAATCAATTTTTGGAAAAGCAATTCTCACACTTGTGCTGATGAGGAACCATCTGGACAAACTGCAATTCCCCTGCATCAGTAAGGTTACATAAAAACCGTTTCAGTAGTTTAACACCTCCCTTACAGTAACTAGCGGCTTCCCTTCAGGATTCTATGCTCATCACAGTACAGAGATTGTTTATTCAAAAATTTAAATGACATCCATAAGAATTTAGACTGGGAAAAATATATTTTTATATATATTAAAGATCTGTTGGTATAATTGCCTCCTATTGTAAATTCCACGCAGTGAGGGCATTCACTGCTCCTCCCTCGACCTCATGCTGCTATATTACATTTGCTCCAGAATAAACATTTAATCGTAAATGCTCATTATATATTTAAGCCCACATAGTCCTTTTCTATAGTGTATAGTGAATAATACACTTAGAGCCCATGTTGCCATACGAGGCTTATAGAAGACTTTTACATTTTTGCAGCTCCAGACAGATTTATTTTTAGTTTTTTGGGTCCAATATGGCTCTTTGAGCAGTTTGGGTTGCCAACACCTGGTATAGTTGGACATCACAAGCTGAGACCTCACAATCAAAGTTAGATACCACCTTTCTCATAAAATCGGAAAGATGGACCCAGTATTCTATTGAGACAGACAGTGGGAAGTTTTAAAACATTTAATGACAAAAATGAAATAAAACAGAGACAGAACTGAACGTGGGCTGCTGCTGATCAGCATACTTGCAACTACTCCGGGGGAAGGCGGAGCATCGCCCATCACTGGCACTCTGGTTGTGGGAGAAAGACAGGTAAGTGACCACAATAATCTGTCAGAAGATGATTATCCATGTGAGTCACTTATCTTGCATAACAGTTCAGTTGATCCTCTCATCAAAGGCAGGATTCAGCTGATGAAATGCCAATGAGATGCAGCTCTGAGCTATCCGGAGGGTCCCTAAGGTAGCAACCCCAGTGAGAATGCAGGAGACCGATGAGGTCAGGGAATAAGTTCAGAATAGGACCATACTCAGATCCAGGAGTTTGTGATGAGTTGTTGTAGTTTTATTTTATTTTCATACATTCTTTCCTGTCTCTATCTTGGTTCTTGCCCTCCCTTTCTTTTTCACCTGCCTTTCTGTCTCTGTGTCCATTGTATGTCATTTTACTCTCTAGAATAAAAAATCAATTATGTTTTTATATACAAGTATAAATTTATTTCAATTGAATTCATTTTTTTTTATGTAGCGCCAATTCAAAACACATGTCATCTCAAGGCATTTTACATTTCGCCAGATCATACAGTCAAATTGATTCAAATTTTCTATCTTAGGAAAACCAGTTGATTTCATCGACTCATTGACTTGAATGCAATTCCTCACACTAAGCATGCTTGTAGCGACAGTTGAGAGCAAAGAAACCTCCCGCAGAACCAGGCTGAGTGTAAACGGCCATCTGCTGAGACCAACTGGGGTTCAAGGAGACAGAAGCAGAGACATAAGCGGCGGTCCGGTCCAGGAAACACACAGCCAGGCAAACGAGCTCCGAGCCAGCTCCCATGTCAGAGGATGAAGAGAGGAAATCCAGCCAGTCACAGTCAGAGAAACAGGACTACACTGGAACAGGCCGATCTCCAGCATCTATAAACAAGGGTGTTGATGGAAGCAGCACAGCTGATATTTCTCTCCAGGATGGAGTCACAACCAAACAGGAACAGACGAGGCAAAGCTACTATGAGGAAAGGCAGAGAGAGCAGAAAGTTTGAGATTGAACTAACAGTTTCTGCAGAAGGTGAGAATAGAGATAGAATGATGAAATGGGGGTCCCTATGTCCTCCAGAAGTCTAAGCCTATAGCAGCATAACTATAGAGATGGCTCAGGATAACCTGAGCCACCCTAACTATAAGTTTTATCAAAAAGGAAAGTTTTAAGCCTACCCTAAAAGTAGACAGGGTGTCTGCCTTACGGACTAAAGATCTGCCTCCCATACTATTTTTAGAAATTCTAGGAACCACTAGTAAACCTGCAGATTGAGAGCGAAGTGCTCTGTTAGGAACATAAGGAACAATCAGATCTCTGATAT